GTCCCCCTAATCCTAGCTCCCACTGCACCCTGAGCCCCTGCAGTATAGGTGGCGTCTCGAACCCTTATGTGCGGCTCACATTGGTTCGGAGTTACCCACTGACTAGGAGTCCAAGGCACAAATTGTCAACGGAAGGGACTCAGAGCGAAAATCCCACCCTCGCAATGCCTGAAGCGAAACCCTCTCGCTGTTTCGGGTGCTAGTGACTGCTAGTGCTTGGACTTTGGCAAGGAAACGAAAATGGTCCTACATCCCACTTCTGAACCCAAAGTAATGCGCTGCCCCCATGACGAAAAAGAAACGGCACCAACGACACCAGCAACAACAGCAACCACACGCAAAAACAATACAGACAATACCACTGATGAAGGCAATGGTGTCAAACGCAGAGGTATGTTCGCTTTCTTAAATGAAGTCACACCCGCTCAGGACCTGCAGTTCTAACGGGAGTACGCAGTCCTTGCTGCTTGGATTGGGTGGGTTCCGAGCCCTGTGCTTGCATAGCTCCAGCACCCTACGTCATCTGTTTGCCAAGACCTGCATCTCGAAATCGAAGCCTCTCGAAACAACGCAATGGATCGTTTGCACTAGGCTGCGCCTCGGCCATGTTGTAGTGCAGTCCTGGTGGCTGTACTCTGACCACCTTTCTTCTCACTATTGCAGCTATGCCTAGTGGTACTCCGGCTGAGTATGAACGAACACTCTTGTGCTCATTCTCCTCGATGCCAATACCATTGTTAGACTCTGTTGTTCCTATTTTGGTCCCACTCATGTTAACGTATAGCTCTGGCACTTTTGACCCAGACTCTGACTGCCGCTCGTGATTGCGATTCACCACCCTTGTCCCACAACGACGAAGACGACGACTACTGCGTGTGGTCTCATGACCTGCTCTTCCCTAAACCCTGAACCCCCTTAAACCCTAAACCCTAAACCCCAAACCCTGAACCCTAAAGATTCCTAAGATGGACCCAGAAGCTGCCTTTGGGCCATCGCCAGGATTAGGCCTGCATGCTGAAGGCTTGATACCACAAGGGCCTGGAGGGTTCGGAGCTTCGTTTCAACCCTTCTTTATCTTGTCAGTGGCGCTCCAGCTCTTGCTGCAAAACGGGCATGCATGAATAACATAAACACGAACAAATAAACAATTGTGTGTATACATATATATATATATATATATGTGTATCATTGCATGTGCAAACATACGTAACGAACCGAGCCTGCCAAACAGGACCGCACTTGTTGACTTGAAAACTAAAACTCCCGTACTGCGAAGTAGCACTGCGAAGTTGAGCTTGCCAGAACGTCGAAAGTCCCACTATCCCAGGAACGATCGATCCCACAAGGCCAAGTCAGCAAGATCAGTGCTCATGAAATTCACCCGCACGTCCCTAAGAGACATGTTCTTCCGACCCCGTCCTGGGAGGCGATGCAGGAACGTGGAGGTGAACACACACTGAGCCGTAATCATTCATCAGGCTGAGATAACGGGGAAGGCCTGGTGAGGATGCGGCGACATGAGGCTTCAGGTGGATTCTCTCTGATGCCCTAAACCCCTACGCTCCAAAAGCCCAGCATACCAGATGGCACCCTTCGCGGGAAATGCTGCTAGAGCCGCCTCCTGCCCTGAAGGCCATTCATTTTCAATAATATCCTGATGAACAGTACATCATGATGCGTATACTACGAACACACACACACACAGATAATACATATATATATATATATATACATATATACACATATATATGTATATATACACATACATATATATATATATATATGTACATATATATATATACACATGTAGGTATGTATGTAATTAGTATGCATTCGGGTATGTGTATGCGTGCATATACAAATATATACAATTATAGTTGTAAAGAACATAATGTCAAATGTGCACATGTATGTATGTGTGTGTCATACATATAAAACCCAGATCCATGACACCAGGTGCCCCTTTTCTTGGGCGATCAGCGAACCTACACCAGCATTTTCCACTCCTGTGATTCAATAAGCAAAATGCGGGTTAAAGCATGCTCTGCCATAAACTCCCCAGAGTGTCGCACCGTCTTGCCCGACATCGACATGATGCGGAAAAAAGAGACTAGGCCACTCGGCCTTCAGACAGCTTAACTGATGCGATGCCAGACACTGTGGGTCTAACAGGTGCTGTGACGAGCGCCCAAGTGGCGCTGCGGCGCGTGGATGCACAAAGGAGAAGCCCTTTGCAAGGTATGTAGCACTCCAGTACTCAGTATCAGGGTTCTCTCGAATGCCTGCCAGGGCATCCTGACGCAGCCGTGACAAGTTCCATTAACGGCTGCTTCGCAGCAACATCTGGATCAGGCTATGCAAGCCTTTCAAATTGCTTAATACTACCCTTAGCATACAAATAGCCCAAAAGCCTTTTATAATAGGGTCTTTGGGCCCAAAAGCCTTAAAATATGAGTCCTTTGATGGTAAGGGCTAGAATCTGGCTTTGGAGCTTCGCATACCCTTTGTTTCTAGATCTCCTCAAACCCCACACCCAAAGCCTAAGCAGAATTAGTTGAAACCCAGCAAAAGAGCTCTCCTGCTGTCAATCGCAGTGGGAGAGCTTAAAGCATGCCTACATGAACTCGGGTGCCACGCAGTAAACCTTCATTCACCGGTGGCCTATTTCGCAGGCTTCTCATGCCTCAGCTTCGGAGAGTTGAAATGCTCTGGGCGGGAGGTTTTCGTGCCTTGACTGTGTGCATGGAAGCTCAAACATGTTTGGTTTCGACACGTGAAATGATAGCTTCCTTGGGGCTTAGATTTGAGTTGAGAAGCACACATCATTACAGTTCACCGCAGCCCGAACTCTGGTGAACCCACCCCTGGACCTGAATAGTATCAGTTTCAAATCAGATACACCCACCTCCGATAAATTCGATACACTCCGCGCAATACGGGTGCACCACAGAAAGCCTCTTCAACGTGTCAACCTTACAACCCTGCAGCAAAACCCTCAACCCTAAAACACAAAACCCAGCAACTCCGAGACCAAAGCCCTTGCTTACGACAAGCCTTTAAAGAACCTTTAGCACTCTCACCCCTCAGCCCTAAGTCCGAAATTACCTCAAATCTCAAACCCCAAAACATCCCTTCCTGAATCCGAGACCTTTGATGTATAAGAACCCGTCAGATTTCTCACTTTTAGCATTCCTGTCGGGGCCTAAGGTTTCACAGTTTGGGTTTTTGGCTTATGGTTCCAAAGCCCTAACCCGTGGAGCAGGGTTTACAACGAGCCAACCCTACACCCTTAACCCTGAACGCATGTCGGAACTTCGGGAAACTGGAGACCCCTCGTGTTGAGAAAAGCCTCCGCGAAGACAAAGACTCCAAAACCCGTTCAGTTGTGGCGTTCATATTCTTGATAGGGAGGGTTTAGGCTTTAAGGTTTAGGGGTACTATGATAATGTAAGAGTACTTAAGGACTTGAGGGTACCACAGGAGTTCATGAGTACTTAAGGTTGTAACGGAGGAGTTCATATTTGTATAGGGGTACTCTGATAATGTCAGAGTGCTTCAGGGTGCCACAGGAGTTCATATTTTTCGTAGGGGCGCCATGACAATGTAGCAGTACTCAAGGATGTATCACATTGGAGACATCCCATTATGACTTGAGGAATGCGATAAACCCTAAACCCTAAACCCTAAACTAAACCCTAAACCCTAAACCCTAAACCCTAAACCCTAAACCCTAAACCCTAATGATAAGGCTTTTTTGGGGAGCTCTCCGAGAAGGCCACCTTTGTGAAGGCATGGCGGAGGCGGGGCCTGCCGGAGTTCGTTTCTTCGACTTCGGGCGTAGCTCAAAGGACATACTGTTGATGGACAGAATTCTGCGTGACCCAAATATAGTATACGACCATAAATCCCTTAGTTTAGGTATATAAGGTCATGCAGGATTTTGTCCATCAGCCGTACGATATAGGAGTTAGGATTAGGGGAACCCTTGGGGATATAGACCCTCTCAATAAGCTCCCTGTTAAGAGAGCCAGAAGTAGGGTTAAGAAGGGTCCCCTAAAGGGGTCTCCTCCCTAATACTACCTAGGACTATAGCGACCGGCAGACTTCCAACAGGATTTTGGGCTGGCAGAATTACTGACTATCCCGGCCTTGAAGCACCACGGGGTGTAGATAGTTTCCAGAACGTAGAAAATGGCCTAATATGAGGTTATCCTAAATATACTTCTACAAGAAAAGCTACTTACTACGTCTCCGTTGTCAGGGAGTGCCGCTTGACAAGGAAACCCTGCCAAGGGCATGAATGAAACTTCAAACACTTCGCGCAGAAGGACTTCCAGCTTCAACTTTCGAAGAAGAGATCCCAAATAAATAGGACGAACGCTGACGGCGAGCAGCCGATGTTTTCCGCCCCTGAAACAATGCAAGTCCAGGGGCTGCGTCAACATGGCGGCAGATTCATCGAGATCAGGTTCGGCGCAATTGTGACTTCTTCTGCGTCTTTATCACTTTCTCATAAGTGATACGGGTCTCAGTTCTATAAGGCTTTTGCATATGTTGCGGCTGAACGTACACAAAGTCGAGTGAGTGAGAAGCAGGAAGTTCGAGTATAACATGGAAGGCCCCAAGGCTTCCGGTACTTGGAGACCGTGCACTCCCTCTTAGGGTTTAGGGTTTAGGGTTTAGGGCGCCTGGAAACGCACAACCACCAGGCTCGATAGCAAAACGTTCTTCCGTTACCATACAACCTGAACCGCCGGGCCCAGGACCCCAAAGCATGATAACCAAAAGTCCTCGACCAACAGAAACTCGGACACCGAAGCTAGTGTCGGCAACCATAAACCCTGAATTCCACACTTCTGCAGCCTACACCCTCTGCACGTCCTCTCAGCCCTGAACCTCTGCGCCCCAAATTCCCACGGCCTCTGAGGTGAGTCTTGCGCAGATGTCGTTGTGGTGATATCGCGGTAATCTTTGCTGGACCATTCCTGACAGAAGTTGATGACATATCGGTTTCAGTATGGACACTGCGTCTGCTGTCGGCTGTCTGCTGCTGCTCCTACTACTTCCACCACAACAAAGACTCTGACTGCTACCGCTCTTACTTCTACTGTTACTCTTACTGCTCATGCGATTTCGGCGACAGCTGGCGAAGACGACGACGATCGACACAGACGACGACGATGGGCCACGCAGGCTCTGCCCTCATCCGGTTGTCTGGAAGTTCTGTTTACGTAGATTTCAGCCGGTTTTCAGCGCCTGGACGCGACATGGGCTTCGTTCAACTGTTCAACACGATGCCAATAGTTGGGGTTTCGCATGCTGGAACCAGGGCATGGATCAGAAACACAGACACCCACCGCCGCAGACGGTAACGACCGAAAGGTGGTTGACAGTGCTGGGGCAAGAAGACCGGGCACTGTCATCTGCATACAAGAGACGGCCTTCATTAGCGGGAAGAGAGTATGACCGGACGCGGGTTCAACTTGCATTTATGATTTCCTGTTGTTAGAACCATCTACTTCGCCTCAGACTGACAAACAGGCACCGCGTGCAAGCGAGCATGCGGGTCTTCCAGCCCCATGAACTAGTTGAATTATCCGTTGTGCTCTTGCTCTTCAATCGAAACCCTAACCCTGAAACTGTAAGCTCTAAACTCCAGCATCAACACTACTATGTCCCGAAACCAACGCCGACCTCGTTGTACTCGTCCTGCATACCCCAGACCTCCACAGGCAGTCGATAGCATGTAGTAGGACTCAGGTTTTTCGCTTCGTGGAGCCTGTCGGGTCTGCATGTAGCAGTTCCTAGCAGCAGCAGCAGCAGCAGCAGCAGCAGTAGTAGTAGCAGCAGCAGTAGTAGTAGTAGTACTAGTAGTACTAGTACTAGTACTAGTACTAGTACTAGTTCCAGTACTAGTACTAGT